ATGACATGTTCAAGCAACAAAATGGACAAAAGAACCTTTGGAATGCACTTGGTTGTTCAAAAATAGCAGGTGGTTGCTTTAAAAAAAAGACTATGGAATTCAGATTTTTCTTTAAGAATTTTGTTTATTGCAATAGGATTATCAAAGAAAAATTAAAAAGTAATGAAAAAATTAAAAAAAGAATTTTGTAGCTACCCTTCCTATAAAACTTATCCAGATTACTTCTTGACCTATACTTTGAGAGCAGAGGAAATCTAGCTACATTAACTCAGTAGCTCTGCAACTTCTAGGTACTTTCTTACCTGAACAGTATATCCTAAGTACTGTAATTCCTGCATTGCTTGCACATTTGAGTTTATTATTCCATCTCTGTATTGCAATAATATACTTTACATAAACTTTCAAGAGAAAAAGCATTCAAGGTATATGTGTGTGTACATACTTATATATATGTATATATATACTCCTGTAAACCATAATTGGAGTTTTAAAAATATTGTTATGGTATTTGCAATTTTCTTTCTTTCTTTTTTTTGAGATGGAGTCTTGCTCTGTCACCCAGGTTGGAGTGCAGTGGTGTGATTTCAGCTTACTGCAACCTCCAACTCCTGGGTTCAAATGATTCTCCTGCCTCAGACTCCCAAGTAGCTAGGACTACAGGTGCGTGCCACCATGCCCAGCTAATTTTTTGTATTTTTAGTAGAGATGGGTTTTCACCATGCTGGCCAGACTGGTCTTGAACTCCTGACCTTCTGATCCACCCGCCTCGTCCTCCCAAAGTGCTGGGATTACAGGCATGAGCCACCACGCCGGCCGGTATTTGCAGTTTTCATACCTTCAGAGGCATATAATAATTTGAAATTATTTTTGGAGGATCTGTCATAAGTCAAATAAATATTTGAGACAACCCAGGACAGCTGTTGAAATTCTCTTTAGAAAGAAGGCAGAAATTTATGATTAGGGTCCAATTTGCCACCAGTGGAACACAGAAACAGCTATTAAGCTTATTCATGTTTATTGTCATAAGGACAGGGATGGCATCATATCAACCAATGTGACCACTATAACTTCCAAACTCATTTTAGGTCAAATGCAAAAATTATAAACTAAAGTTTTGATTAGCGATAAACCTATAATCTTGAAAATGTCCATTAATTTCTTTAAATTATATTGACATATTTTTATTATTATTATTATTATTATTATTTTGAGACAGAGTTTAGCTCTTGTTGCCCAGGCTAGAGTGCAATGGCTTGATTTTGGCTCACCACAACCTCCGTCTCCTGGGTTCAAGGGATTCTCCTGCCTCAGCCTCCTGAGTAGCTAGGATTACAGGCATGTGCCACCACGCCCAGCTAATTTTGCATTTTTGGTAGAGACGGGGTTTCTTCATGTTGGTCAGGCTGGTCTCGAACTCCCTACCTCAGGTAATTCACCCACCTTGGCCTCCCAAAGTGCTGGGATTACAGGCATGAGCCACTTTGCCTGGCTATTATTATTATTAATTAATTAATTAATTATTTATTTATTTTTTGAGATGGAATCTTGCTCAGTCGCCCAGGCTGGAGTGCAGTGGTGCGATCTCGGCTCACTCCAAGCTCCGCCTCCCGGGTTCACGCCATTCTCCTGCTTCAGCCTCGCCAGTAGCTGGAATTACAGGTCTGTGCCAAATATTAAAAAAATTAAATAATTATTTAATATTTATACTATTATAAATAATTATTAAATATATTTAAAAAATTTTTAAATATAATAAACAGCCAGGTGCAGAGCCTCACACCTGTAATCCCAGCACTTTGGGAGGCCAAGGTAGGCAGATCACCTGAGGTCAGGAGTTCAAGACAAGGCTGGCCAACATAGTGAAACCCTGACTCTACTAAAAATACAGAAATTAGCGGGGAGTGGTGGCACTCACCTGTACTCCCTGCTACTCAGGAGGCTGAGGTGTGGTGGCACATGCCTCTAATCCTAGCTATTCAGGAGGCTGAGGCAGGAGAATCACCTGAACCCGAGAGGCAGAGGTTGCAGTGAGCTGAGATCACGCCACTGCACTCCAGACTGGGCATAGAGCAAGACTCTATATAAAAAAAAAAGTGTGTGTGTGTGTGTATACATATATGTACACATATATATGTATATATATGTGTATATATATAAAAAATATATAAATTAGCTGGGCATTTTGGCGCAGACCTGTAATTCCAGCTACTCGGGAGGCTGAAGCAGGAGAATGGCGTGAACCCGGGAGGCGGAGCTTGGAGTGAGCCGAGATCGCACCACTGTACTCCAGCCTGGGCGACTGAGCAAGATTCCATCTCAAAAAAAAAAAAAAAATTAAAAAAGTAAATAAAAATTAATAATAATAATTAAAATAATAGCCAGGCAAAGTGGCTCATGCCTGTAATGTCCCAGCACTTTGGGAGGCCAAGGTGGGTGAATTACCTGAGGTAGGGAGTTCGAGACCAGCCTGACCAACATGAAGAAACCCCGTCTCTACCAAAAATGCAAAATTAGCTGGGCGTGGTGGCACATGCCTGTAATCCTAGCTACTCAGGAGGCTGAGGCAGGAGAATCCCTTGAACCCAGGAGACGGAGGTTGTGGTGAGCCAAAATCAAGCCATTGCACTCTAGCCTGGGCAACAAGAGCTAAACTCTGTCTCAAAATAATAATAATAATAATAATAATAAAAATATGTCAATATAATTTAAAGAAATTAATGGACATTTTCAAGATTATAGGTTTATCGCTAATCAAAACTTTAGTTTATAATTTTTGCATTTGACCTAAAATGAGTTTGGAAGTTATAGTGGTCACATTGGTTGATATGATGCCATCCCTGTCCTTATGACAATAAACATGAATAAGCTTAGTAGCTGTTTCTGTGTTCCACTGGTGGCAAATTGGACCTCCACTGCCTTGGTTTCCCAAAGTGCTAGGATTACAGGTGTGAGCCACCACACTCGGCTAATTTTTATGTTTTTTGCAGAGGCAGGGTTTCGCCATGTTGGCCAGGCTGGTCTCCAACTCCTGACCTCATGTGATCTGCCTGCCTTGGCCTCCCAAAGTGCTGGGATTACAGGTGTGAGGCTCTGCGCCCGGCCGTTTATTATATTAAAAAAATTTTTTCCTAGCCAACCAATGTATGCAAGATGTCAGTATATATCCTCTGCTGTGCACTGTTTCAGGCACTGGAATACAAAAATGGGTAAAAAAGAGATAAAATCCCTGTCTTTAAGGAGCTCATATTTTAATGAGCAGTGTCCTTTTTCTTTCTGGTTTTTTTGTTTTTGTTTTTGTTTTTGTTTTTGAGACAGAGTCTTGCTCTGTCGCCCAGGCTGGGGTGCAGTGGCGAAATCTCTGCTCACTGCAACCTCCGCCTCCAGGTTCAAGCGATTCTCCTGCCTCAGTCTCCCGAATAGCTGGGATTACAGGTGCCTGCCACCACGCCAGGCTATCTTTTCAGGTGTTTATAATATAGTTTTCATATACAGTTACAGGAATAGTATGTTACAGAACCTAAAGGAAAAAAAAGAAGTATTAGTTGAGTTTAGAAGTGGGTTTATACTGTATGTACTAGGAATTGCCTGTTGAACTAACATTTCAGAAGTAACTATTTAAATCTGTATTGTTGACACTGCAGTGAAAGCAGCGAAACTTGTCAGCAGATGATTAAGTTTTATGGTTGATTTTCACACTTTTGTAGCTTGGGACCAATATCAAGTTTCTGGGAAGAACATCCTTCCTCTCTCCCCACCCTCTGTCATTAACCCCGCGTTTCTGCCTGTTGTGTTAAGTATGTCCTTGGGATAAAGGCGAATCATAATCGTTCGGTTTTCATTTTCCTCTTATTAATCTGAGAAGAGTTACTTCAGTTTTTTTCTTCCGGAGTCTAGAAAGCGCTTTGATTGTTGAATTATTACATATTCTGCATGGAAAAGTCTGTACGTCACTTGTTATTTTTTCAATTCCCAAGACCACCAGTTAGTGGAATTATTTCTGGGTGAGTGGAACACCCTTTACAAGCTGCTAGAGGAGGTATGCCTGTCCCTAGGTTATTGGCTTTCCATTGCCTAGTCTTTTATAGAAAGTGGCACTGTTCCCACGGAAATAAACAATCATTCAATTTGGAGAGACTCGAAATCTTAAGGCCGAAGTGAGAAAAAAATTGGATTGTTATGGGTTAGGTTACTATTTGAGAAGGGCAAGCGGGAGTTAGCGAATGGATAGGGTGTTAAAATGGGACTTTATTAAATGACTCATTACAACTGCACAAAAAACTAAACCTTTGCTGGCCCCAGAGGATTTTTTTTTTTAAAGTTTCAAAAACCTAACTTCAAACAAAATTTAGGAAACGTGGGATTAGTATAAGTTCAGTCTGGGTGCTTACAAGACCACCTCCTCTGTCACCGAAAGTGGACACAGGTGTGAGAATTTTGCAACAGCAGCTTTCAGAACAATTTTTCGGCGCTCAATGGTGCCCCAAGAACTTCGGGGGTGGAAAACACGCCAAGCAGCGAAGACTTCCCCTCGGTTGCTAACCTTTCCCTTTCCCACCTCGCCACTCCCTCTCCGTCGCGGCCGCCAGCCGGGGGGCGTTTGTTTATGTGACGTCCGGCGTAGTAAGCAGTCCCCGCCCCCGTTTCCCTCTGGCCGCCGCGTTTCCCGCGCCGCGGAGCTTCTCCCCTTAAAAGGACAATAGAGGCCTCGGGAGCGCGCGCGGTCGCCGGGACTTCTCCCCCTCCCAGCCCGCGACGTGCGCGCGCCCGTATGCAAATAAGTTCGATTCAAGAGAATTTTGTGCCGGGAGCCGCGCGTGCGCAGAGGGAAAGCGGAATCTACACCTTCTCGGCCAGCGGTAGCAACTGCAGAACTGCAGGAGACAATCTTTCTAGACAAGGCAGTTGAGGAGGAGGGAGCGCTTGAGGGGGACTGGCCTGGCGTGCACTCCGCACCTCGGGGACGTTATTGCGCGTGGAACGGCTGCTTTTGGAAGGTGAGTGACTCTCACCATGCCTCTAGTGCAAAACTGTCTCATGAGGCTTTGATTTCAGAGTGTTTTTTTTCTCTCTCTTTTCACCTCCACCCACCTCCCCCCGTCCTTCCACATACACACAGGAAGTTTTGTCTTGGAGGTGGCATTGTTGGGAGCGCTGTTTTCGTGATCTTCAGACCCCAGGTTCTTTGGTACGCGCTTGTTTAGTGTGTATTTATTAATTGGGGAGGGTATTTGAGGCAAACCGAAAGTCTCGGGGCGGGGGAAGTGAGTGGAGCCTAGGCATAATTGAGGAGTCGCCGGAGTTGAGGGATCCACGTTGAAGGTGACAATGACTTTTCTCCGCCGCAGTATTCTCTCGCGGAAAGGAGCCCGGCGGCCGAAAGGCCCGAGAGGAAAGCGACTGGCTGGCCACCGCGCAGCGGCCGGGGTCGGTGCGTCCGCGTGGGCGCGAGGCGCGGGCAGGGTCGGGCGCCGTTGTGAAACCTCGTGGTTTAGTTGACTGCAGCCCCCGGGTTAGGGTGGACAATAAACGCCATTCGCTCGGAAACTAAGTTGCCGTCCGCTTCCAAGCTGGCGGCCGAGGGTCTTTAAATCGGCCTTTGGGGGTCAGTGCTGGGCTCTGCCGGAGCGCACGCGGCGTGGCGTTGTTTGCTCAACTCCGGAGGGATGCGGATGCGACAATGAGAGCAACACGCGGTCGCTTAAAAACAGCCCGTCTTCCACTCTCCTGCCCTCTTGGGACCGCGCCCAAGAGTGTCTGGTGTCCGGGGTGCCTTCGGAGCCCGAAGTTTTGCTCCCCGTGCGTTCACCTGTAGCGTAGGTGTGGGCGCCACGGCGAGGGCTTCCCGTTTGTGGGCGGCCGTCCGCGCTGTAAGATGGCCAGGGAAGCCAACTTGGCTGGGGACGGAGGCGGCGGCGTTTGTCTACGCCGCAGGAGTCAGTGAACTCCGCGGGGCACTGCTTTTTGTGCTCTACGTGACAGACCACGTGCTTCGGGCTGCGACCCTGGTCCTTGTCCGAATGTCCAGCCCCGCGTGAGCCGTGGGATGCGGCCGCCGTCAGGCAGGTCCGGCCGGCAGGACAATGTGGTTTGCTGATGATGGCGTCTTGCCAGTTTAAAAAGCAGAGTGAAAGTCGCCAACTCTCCGCCCGTGCGGGGCGGGTACTCCGGGCGTTTCTCATCAAGGACACTGCAAAACTTTGATTAAATGGGCCCGCTCCCGAGGGGAGGGCCGGGGGACCAGGCTCCGGACTCTTCGGGGCGCGGGGTCCGGACCCCTACCCGGGGTGATCGTCCAGTGTCCGGCCCCTGCGAAACGCTCCGACATCTCTGATGCTGCACGTAGGCAGCGCCCGGCTGGACAGAAAACAAAGGGCTGCATGTGCCCGTGCGGGCCCCCGGCGCTCGGGGCGGCCGCCTGGGCGGAGGGACGTGCGGGTCGGAGGCCCTCGAAGTTCGGGCGAGTTTCGGGAGGGGCTTTTGTCCCTCAGCCCCCTCGTGGGGAAACTTTGGCGGCGCTACTTGTGCGAGGTGCCATGCTGGTGCGTAGGGAGGCGGCGTGCTTCCCCGCTCCGGGCGTGCGGGCGGGCGAGGGAGGCGGCAGTGCCCGGCGCTCCAGCCCTGGCACCAGGGGCTGCGACGGCCGAGGGGTCCGGAGAGCGTGGCCCGGACTCCTCGGCCGGTTCCTCGTGGCCGGGGAGCCTGTGTCTGGGAGGTCTGTGGGTTCGCCTTTGAAGTCGAACTGTTGCCATGTTTGAATTACGTCAGGGCAAAGCCATGAGGAGGAACAAGCCCCGGCAGCGCGGCGTGCGGGAGGCGCGGCCTGCGGGAGGCGCCGGGTCGGGCGGGCGCGGGGCCCGTTGTTCCGGCGCAGGTGAGGGAGGTGGCGGCGAGCGACGCGGTTCACCTCCCGCTGCCCTCGCCCTCGCTCTCGCCCTGGCGAGCGGCCCCCGCAGGAACTTTCCTCCCGACGCGAGATGTCTTATTTACCAACAAATCCACCAGGGAGCATTCTTATTTGCTGGCTCGGCGTCTCTCTCGGCGGTCACCGGAGTGCCCGAGGGGGAGGCGCGATTTACGGAAGGTGGGGACCCGAGGGCCCTGGGAGGAGCGGGGAGGCATTTTACTGCTTTCGGGGAAACGGGCGAGGGCGGCTAGCACCTCCTCCCCAGCCGAACTGTGGCCCGCAAGTCCAGGGGACCCAGCCCCGACGACGCCCGATAAACCACCGTGGGGAAGTTCCGGGGCTCCCAGTTGCCCTACTAAGGGAAGTGAGGACTGTGGGCGAATTGTGCGTGCGGCCAGTTTCTTTGTGTGTTTCCAGGGGGTGGGGGGGAGCGGGGAGGGGCAAGGTTTGTTTTGGTGTGGGGGGAGTTGGTTTATGGAGGTGGTAGGGCGGTGCAGTTTGTTCTGGTAACTATGACCCTAGTCAGTTTCTTTGTTTTTATTTTCTTCCTGTAACCTTCCATTACTTCAGGCACTCGGAAGATTAGGAATTACTGTTGAGTTAAACAGGGACCCTATCCGAGACAGTTTTACCCCAGCAATCCTTTCTCCCCCTCCTTATGTTGTCCTAAGGAGGGTTAAGAAAAGCTTTTCTTTTTCTTTTAATAATTTAAAAATGAATTTGACCTTGTTATTCAGCGTACACTGAAAGCACCTGTTTTTGAACTGAAATTTGCCAGACTTGAAAAGCCTTTTAATATTTTATGTCGCAAAATTGAACACATTTAGTTGCCCAATCTAAATTAAAGTCTGGGAGTTTCTGGTGGAGTTCCGGAGAAAACCCTCATGGCATTTAAAGTATTTATGTAATGATTTTGGGAAGGGGGATCTTTTTTAGCCGAAAGGTATGCGTGACTCAGTGTTTGGTGGTTATTCACTGCCTTATCTTAGGATGACCTTGAAGAAGCAAATGTTTAGGGAGTTGGGCCTTTTGGAAACATTGTAAGGAGGCTGGGGAGCTGGCTGCGGAGGAAGCTGCTCAGGAAGATGTCACAGGGTAACGGCTAGCTTCTTCCCAGTTCCCGTGAACTGGGGTTGACCTTCTGGTTACCCCTCCTAGATTTTTCTTTCAAGCTAACCTTTTTTTTTTTTTTTTTGTATGTAGCCCCAGGCATAGCTCAGAAATTATGCTGGTTTGACACATGGATGCTTCTTTGGTATTTGGGTTTTGCCTGTAGTCTAGACATCCGATATGCACCATCGTATCTGTTGCTTCTTTCCTGATTTCTGCTGCATTTGAATCATGTTTAAGGCTTAGAATCTAAGTGATCATTACTAGGAAATAATACCCTTAAATGCCCTGCCCCCACACACCAAAAAATCGATACTAGTTGGAATTCATTTTTTTCTTTTCATTATTTTGTTACTAATAAACCTATTTTTCCCAAGTTTTGGTTGACCAAATTACAATACCAAAAGGCAACCAATATTAGTACATTTCTGTAGTAAATAGAAAGAGCATGTCAAGAAAATGAAAACCTTTGGATTTAATAACTTTGACTTTCCTTTGGCAGCTATTTCCCTGGGTCGTTATTTAAAATGCATATGAGGTGCTTTGCAAATACGCTGAGATTATTTGAGTTGTTTTTCTTAATTAGTATTTCATAGCTAAGTTATGGCTAGAATTTCCATTTCCTAGCAGATTTCATATACTACATACAGAGCTTAATGGTTTTTGTTTTACTAATTAGATGATGTGAAACAGAGATTTGGATTATCAATGTGAATGAATTCAGGGTGGGAAAGAGCCACCGACAAGGTCTCTACTGCCTTCTCTTTGTAGTGCTTTTGTGAGAGGTTGGAAATACGAAGTTCAATTGGTGGAATATTCTAGATCACTGGTGGACAGCAGGCCCCAAGTCTGTCTGTCCTTGCACAGTATTCATAATGCTGTATATCTGGAACCTGAATGATCAATTTTTTCCCCCCCCCACAGTGGTTATCAAGTCCTGGGAAATCTTGACTCATAGGGCTCAAACTCAGACATATTTATGTAAGAGAAGCAATTTAAGAACCATTTGACATGTAAAATAAAAGTTTTTCACTGGGAAAAGTGTAAACTTATGTTAAATCTAAACCAACTACACAGGGCTCTTATGAGGATAAGTTAATCAATTTACCATGCTAGGCACATAGTAGGTTGCTTTAAAAGTATGTCGTTTTCGTTTTTTCTTAAGAGATGGTAGGAATATAATTGGCTGAGCAGAAAAGGAACACAAGGATTGAGGCACAAAGTTTTGCTGTTCAGAGGTTTCTGAGTTAGTAATGCTTGGGTTTCAAAGCTGTCATCATCTTATAGTCACTTTGTGATCTAGTTTTTTTCATCTGTAAAATGGTAGTAATATGTATTGTAAATAAGTTGTAAATAATTAAGCAAGTGACATGATTGATAAATACTAGCTGCTGTTGTCCTCACGACACTGGGAAATAGACATTCTATATAAAGTAAAACGGAGGCCTGGGTCAGTTGTTGTTTCTGGGGAAACATTAAGTAAATTTTTAGTGGAAAGAATGAGTGTCTTTGGTCTCTTCCCTTACCTTATGAAAGCAGTTCTGGGAAGACCCTGCCCTTGCTCTTGGTTGTCTTTTCAATTCTGATTCAACCATTTTACATCAGAAAGTCCTGTGGAAACCTGGAAAATGTCATTTTTCTTTCTTCCTGATTTCTCTTGTCCACACTTAGTTTTGATTTTGGGGTGTTACAAATTGAGACTTTTTTTGTTGTCTTTTGTTTCTCCAGTTTTTTAATTGAATCTGCAACTAGGATTTTTCTGTATTATGGAAATAATCTGGAAATGCATCTAGTCCAAAAAGGGAGTTTGTTTTCAAGGTAGGGAGGTTTTCTCTTTGCCCCAGAAATACTAATGTCACAGGCACATTGCTGTTACATATTCAAGTATGAAAGTTACAGTTGAACTAAAATAATTTATTTCTAGTTTTGTATTTAGTTGTTTTCCACCTATTACAAGTTTGGTTTGGCTTAATGTTGTTTTAATTTGGTTAATGTTAACTGTGCTGAGTTGAAGTAGCTCTCATTTCTCATTTCTCCCCACACTAGTCTAATTTCCTTCCCCCGGTCCTGCTTGAAATAAGCAAGAAACATTTTTTCCTATAGCTTTTAAAACCTCAAGCTTTTTTTCCTACAAAAGTCTATAGACCAAATGTTAAAGAAAAATGACTCCTTTTTAAAAACATTAAAAATATTTCTATAATCAATAGCGCAAACAATGACTCCTTTCAAAACATTAGTTTGTAAAATTCACATCTTTATTGTAGACACCATTTCCCATTCCATGCCCTTAAAATATACTGTCTATATGGCTGCCCAACTCTTTAAGTAGTTAGCAAATTCTACCTGTTTCCGTGTACTATGTACAACCTGGTTGTAATACAAGAGTTAGTTTCTGCTCTGCGGCAGTTTATTATTGAGTAGAGGAGATAATGCAGTAAACAAGAAGTGAAATCTTACGTGGTAGGTGTCCTAATAAAGGTATGGCAGGGTTTTGTAAAAGAAGTAATTCTTAAGAGAATTTCCCAGGTCAAGGGGATGGAGGGTAAGCTGTCTCAGACAGAAATAATAGCCTGAGTAGAGGGTGGCTAGTTATTAAAGTTGGTTCGACACTCTTAGAATATCAGAATTCCAAGTTAGGAGCAGCTGGTAGGCAGGAGCAGATCCTGAAAAACTTTGAATTCCTTGCCAAGGAGTTTAGATACTATCATGAGGCCAGCATTGCTACCTTGGAAGGGAAGATTAATAGTTGAATTTTAGGAAGATATCACATGTTTAAAGGATGTAGGGAAGTCAGTTACAAGGTTCTGACAGGAGTTCATGCACCATGATGAGGAATAAACAGGCAGTGGGGATGGAAGTGAAAGAAGAAACAGAATCTCTAAGGACTTCACAATAAATTTGATGGAGGGCCATGCAGAGGGTGAAGGAAGAGCTCAGTTGGCTTCCAAGTTGTTTTTGTGTGACTGTGGATGATAACCAAGATAGATAAACAGAGGAAGAGCAGATTTGGAGGGAAGATTGTATAATCAATTCTCAGGGTATTTAAAGGTTGGAATGGATTGGTGATCAGTTGGCCATATTTATCCTAGAGCTAAGGGGAGAGATTGGACCAGGAAATGAATAATATTGGGTTATTACCAATAAGATTGTTAGTAACTTCCTGTGAGTGAATTGCCCAAAGACAGAAAGCAAAATGACACCTGAAATGTAAGGGAGAAAAAAGAGAGGAAAGAAGAAAGATTTGTGAGTAAACAGAATTGTCAGAGCTGAGTGCATACCTCGTGCCAGTCTTTGTGTTGATGCTTTACAGATACTATTCAGGAGATTTGGGATTTGTTATTATTATTATTATTTTGAGATGGAGCTTTGCTCTTGTTGCCCAAGCAAGCTGGAGTTCAATGGCACGATCTCGGCTCACTGCAACCTCTGCCTCTGGGTTCAGGCAATTCTCCTGCCTCAGCTTCCTGAGTAGCTGGGATTACAGGTGTATGCCAACAGGCCGGGCTAATTTTTTGTATT